ATTTAGTGGTGATTTAATATAGTGTCAAAATAATAGGTACTAAACGTCTAAAACCTTGCATGTTATTAGGTTAAATCACCGGTAAATGCAAAGAAAAATTAATTAAACTTAATAATATTGTCAAAATTAGAAGATGGGATAATTTAAGAAATAAAATAAAAGGATGATAATGCATGAGTAGTTGAGTTTAGATAAAGGGGATGTGGTCAATTAAGTCAAGAACCGACCATTGTTGAGATGTTTAAGAAAATAAAGAAATGAGGAAAAGTCATTTTTGTCCTTGTCACATGCGACCCAACAAACCGTCATATGGGGGTTTATGTGTGTGTTCATATATACAACTTAATTAAGCAATGGGTATTTTAATTTTCTCTCTAATTAAACTACCCACATTACTTTTATTAATTAATTGTTAATTAAAAGGACAAAAAAGCCAATCAAAACTTTCAAATTTTAATTAAGAGATGATTGTGGAGCGTATCATTGTATTTAGCACAAAATGGATGCACATGGCTTAGATAATTATTATATTTTCTCTCTCTCTCTCTCGTGTGTAACATGTAGAGGGTAACATGACATTGTCAAAAATCAAATATGTATTTGGTACTACTTTTGTTGGAGACTCCTCTATTTAACAATTTTGTCACACCAATTAATTAAAAAAGTTTCTTGGTGTTTGTTTTGTCGAAAAATAAAAAGTTAGGTTTTACACTAATGGTGTGTTTTGATGATAATTTATTTTTTAATTTTTACTCTCTTCATCTTTAAACATGTGGGTATATAATAACTATAAACATTATAGTCAAACTTTTATGGATTATTATGTTTAGACTTGGACAAATGTTGTAAATTTTACTTTCTATTTAAATTCGACTTCGTTTCACCCACTCATTTAACAAAAATTTAGATGTAAATTTAGTCTTAGAAAATTTTTTATTATCAATGAAAGTCAAAGTCATGCAATAATTTAAGTTCGATCAGTGCACAAAGTCGACAATTGATAATAAATCTCTATATTTCAATAATAATCTGACTGTAGCATCAAGCTCCATACACTTTTGTATTATGACCATCAATTTTTGTACTATGACCATGTTTAGTAATTAATTGAATGCACATCAGAATAAATGTAACGTCCGACTAGAATGAATCGATACCACATCCGAATGAGAGGAATCCTGAGACCATAGAAAATATAGTTAAGAAAGCTTAAGGAAATAATAGTTACTACCTATGATAAGGTGCACCTTTCTTTTCGGTAACTCAATCGTAAGAACTCCAATGAGGACAAAGCATCCTGAAAGGACTCATGTTGGTCTATAGGGATAGTCTACGCTCTTCTAAGTAGCTCAGAACTAGATCAGATCGCAGGGAATGCCAGACAGAGAGGTGCCAAATCCTGGTTTGAATTCTGGGCTCTTGGCTGGTTAGTTTATCATATATCTTGGTGACATGTCGAGGTAACGTCCTTTGCGACGTTGTCGATTTACCATTGTCCCTCGCRGTTGGCAGCTTTGACGAGGTCAAAGGCTCATATTCAACCCACATCGTGTCCTCGATCGGCTGGTTCGCAACCTCTTTTTAGTCCTATCATTGTAGAGGCCATTGGTTCCCTCCCACGTTGTGGATGATCTCCATAAACATATTTATTCAAGTTTAGGATAAAAATTGCAACTTTGATGATAAAATTGAAAACTTAGATTTAAAAGTTTATACATCCCATCAAGTTTAGAGGGTTAAAAATTATTTTTCCACCCTAATTTTTTATACTGTCATTACAATAATAAATAATGAAGGGAAATCATGAGCATGCAAAAAGCTAAAAGGTGGGGGAGAGAAAAAGCCATAAGGAGGGGAGTTTCTGAGATTTTTGAATGATGAAGGAAATGATGGTAACATTTGAATAGGTCTCTCTGTTAGCCTTAGGCAATCATATGCTGCGTCATGTTTTTTTTCCTTCTTTTTGGGGTTTTGATAAAGTTCCTTCAAAGGGTTTTGCATGCGTATTATTCTCTGATTGAATGTGTGAGTTTTGGTGATTTGGTTAGGACACAAATCATGATTGGCCGTCTCTTAAGTCTTAACCTTAAATTAATTAACTAATTAATTAGCTTTGAGATGAAAGAATAAGTTAGCTTTTTTGAATATCATGATCATTCAGAAACTCTACACACTTTTCAGATATTATTTAGTTTAATTTTGTTTAATTAATAATAATAAATAAAAAAACTTCTCATCTTTTGTTAATAATTAGCTGATTGATGGAGAACATGCCATTATAATGCCTATCGAGTGGATCATTTTCCCATTCATTGTTGACTGCATAAATCATTGGCTTCAAATTATAACCCTTTTAAAATTTTTTATATAACTAATTAATTTCCTAATTATACTCTTCCTTGTTTACTTTTCTCTTCTCTTTGTACAGTATAATTTTTTTTTTCTTTTTTTTCAATCTGAACATAGTTCAATTGGTTAAAACCTATATTTTTAATTAAAATGTCGAGGTTTGAATCCTCACCACCACATGCGTTGTTGAACTAAAAAATATATGTATAATATATATATATATATATATATATACACATATATTTTTAAAATAATTATGATTAGAATTTCAACATGCATGTGGGATCAACATTTGTGAATGTCAAATGTGTTGTGCTAGATGATGTTTGAATAGGCTTTAAAGTAGTTCAATTAAGAAGAAATTAGTTAGCTTTAGAGGTACTTCTAATTAATTATAATGATTTGTCCAAGTTAGAAATAAAGAAAATTTAGTGATTGATGATCAATCATATCTGGGAGGGATTCCATTCAAAAAGGTATTTGACGTACTCTTCGTCCCCATCAACGAGATTTCAAATAATCAAAAGCTAATAAAGGAGAAAAACCTTATAGGTTTGAAATGTTGTAACTTGATAATTATCTTTTAGTAATTTAGCTCTTTAACCCCCTATTTGGAATATGAAATAAATTTAAATTATATGATTCGAAATTCAGCCGATAATTTAAAATTTGTTATCTTGTTTGGAACAAAAAAAATATTTGAAATTAATGTAATTCAAATATAAAAGTTTAATCTTAATGAAAAAAATGTAGGATATTAGAGTTAAGATCCCAGGTTGAAAAGATAAGTGACCTAACAAAAAGCTGATAATGTATATGGTTACTTCTCTCATTGCCAGTTGGATTTGAGATAGAACTGCATAATATTGATATGGTATTAAAGTCCAACAAACTCAAACTAGCATTTGGTCCAAACATGGAATTCGACCAAGATTGGTGAGCTCTCAAAAAGATCCACTATCTTGAGGRTGCATTATTAAGAATCTGACATTAAAAAGATTAGTAACGTAACAAAAAGTTTATAAYATATCTGAATTACTTCTCTTCTACCTAATTTAAGTAGAATCGATTATATATATATATATATTTAAACACATAAGAGGAATATAAATTGAAATCACTTCAGTTATAAAAAATAAATAAATAACTTTGTTGCCAAATTCTTTGAAAATTTTTATTATCTACCGTTAATGTTGGCTCTTGCAAACACCTTGATGCAATATTTTTTATTTCTTAATCCCATTTTAATGAGGAAATTGAGGGAGAAAGATCCATGCACTAACATGAATTTCTATTCTCCAACATAAAAGTATTTTTTTTTTCCATTCAACACAGAAAATGAGAGATTTAACCTTTTGACCTTGAAAAATGAAATATTTTATATACTGACAGATTGTCATGATCTCTCCTAATTAAACTTCTTCATGGTCAATCCACCCAAAGTTAAAGTTTTCTACAAGAAAATTGATCCTATGCTTGGTTTTTATTTCTTTTTATAATTTTCTTTTTATAATAACAGAGATTCTTTACAAGGTTAATCACACTAAAACGAGGAAAGACTTGAAGGGATGCAAATTTCTTCATTACTAAAGTAGTTATTCTAATTAATTTTTGCATTGTCTTTAATTTCATTGTGCATTTACATTTCTTACCACTATGAAATTGTTAAGATGAACTCACGTATGGGACAACACATGTGAATGCCATGTTTTTCCTATGCTATATTATGAGTAAGGCAAGTAATTAAACTAATTTAATTGAGCAAATATGGAGTACTTATCATATTGCCATATATAAGGTAATTTTTGATATAAGAGCTCGCTTTTATTATTAAGAAAGCCAAATATATGTCTTAAATTTTTGGATAGGGCAAATTTTAGGTTATCCAGATAATCAATTATAATATTGCTACTACTAAATAGAGATGACTCAATTATTTAAGGATCATCAGGTAAGTATATTTCATTTTTTGTTTCTATTTTTAAAAATTAAGCTTAGAAATACTGCATTCGCCTGTTTTTCTTTTTCTTTTTCATACTACTACTTTAAAAAACATTTATTTTTAGTTTTTTAATTTGGTTAAGAATTCAAATTTATTTTTAAGAGAGATAAAAACGTATCAGTGAGATTGTACAAATCAGAAACAATTTTTTAACACAGAAAATAAAAAATGAAATGATTATCAATCGACTTTAATTTGAGATATAAACATAGTATCATTTATAAATAATAAGTTAGGGGAACAAAGATTAAAAAATTCACCAACAAATTGATCCCTCCATTCATAGGAAAAATTCATTGAAGTTATTCAAAACTATAAATTTATTAAATGTTTCCAAAAAAAATAATTATTATGTATTGAAAAGAAAAAAGTGATTTGAGAGTATCACATGCGCCATTTCCCTTTTCTCATATGTTTGATTTATAGATGACCAATTATCATGCACAGTTAGTTGGGCCCCACTCAGTGGATTTTAATTTCCTCTTTCAGTTTTGCCAAAAAAGAGAGGAATTAGATTATATAATTAGAGAAATTTTGCTTATTTAAACCCCCATCATATGCAACACCCCTAAAACCAGGCCTACAATCATTCCCTTTTCTATTCCATTTTACTCTAAAACTTCAAAAACACACTAATCTCTCTTTACTTTTTCCCTTTTTTTTTCTCTATTTTTTTCATATGGACTTCACCGACTCCAAAACCAACTCAACTTCGACCTCGTCGAAGCCGAGGAGAAAACAGCAAGAGCAGCAACAACAGCAAGAGACCACAAGGTTTCTTGGAGTGAGGCGGCGACCGTGGGGGCGATACGCAGCTGAAATTAGAGACCCATCGACAAAGGAGAGGCATTGGCTCGGAACATTCGACACGGCCGAGGAGGCGGCATTGGCATATGACCGTGCCGCCCGGTCCATGCGCGGCTCCAAGGCCCGCACCAACTTCGTCTACTCCGACATGCCTCACGGCTCCTCCATCACCTCCATAATCTCCCCCGACGAATCCGCCGACGCTTTCCCTCCTCCAATTCCAACCCCAACCCAAAACGACCAACTCTCCTTCGCCCTTCACGACCCCTTCGCCACCAGCCCATTCCCCGGCAATAACTGGCTGTCCAACTCCGACTTCGACCACGACGTCGACCTGCCGTCGAATTACCAGCCCGTAACAGCCTTCATGGACACTGGCATGCCACAGGCCGACAGCACAGAGCTCCCTCCACTCCCACCGGATGCGTCTTCTTCTTACAATGAGTACGCGTTTATGAGCTACGATTCAAACGCCGCCGTTTTGCCGCCATTCCCGGATACGCCGGCCGACGGCTACGGCTTCGGCTTCGGCGGTTCCTCATCCACTTACTTCTATTAATAATCTTCCCATTTCCTCTCCCTAATTTTAATCTGTTGTTTAAGCTATCAGAGGTGTGTTCTTCTCCTTCTTCTTCTTTTTTTTTTTTCTTTTTTTTAATCAAATGGCTGCACCCAAGCTCAGAAACTGGCTGATATTGTGGATGTGATATATAAAATATAAATATGTTGATTTATTTTGGAGGATATTTGTAATAATTGTTCAAGAGTGTGCGATTACAAATGCAAAATTACTAAACAATGACTTTGGATTTATTTATTATTATTAGTATTATTATTATTATTATTTCTTTTTGGATATGACAAGTGGGATGAGAATATTCGAATTCATAATTTCTTGATCAGAGACAAATGTCAATTAAAGTTAAGTTCATGTTATCAATAATAACTTCGATTATCTATTTTTTTGTCACACATTTCTAAACTTTTTACCATATTTGTATGGATACATCTTATCTTAACATATTGTTCTTTGTACAAGTTCTTTATTACCAAATCAACTTTATCAATTAAACAAGCTATTTTGTGTAATAGAATAATTAGGTAATTAAAATACATTTTAAGAAAAATATGTGATAAACTATTTTATTGGGTCCCTTTGTGTAATTGGATTAATGTTAGACACATTATATGTTAGAAAGAATCTTTTAAAAGATTGATTGATATTTTTAAAAATATATATTTGACACTTTTATTTTTCTATATATGTTTATAATATTTGTGGGAGGGTGTGAGTCAATCATTAAAAATTCCTGAAAGATGCAAGGGACAGTTGAGTGTCTCACTATTGGTTGGAAACCATGAACGATGATGAGAAGATTTGAGGCTTCATGAATACGCCCACATTCAAACAAATTTAAATTGTTTGGAATAATATGGTCAACAATTTCCATATAAATATAGAAATAAAAAAAATGTATTTTGACCAAGGCATTGAAAAATTAAAACAGCCTTGTCAAAGAACCACATTTAGGTACTAGGCAGCTCAAATAATTCACGAAGCTTCACATCTGCTTCCAGTTGCAGCAGCAAATCCCGTGATTACTGCAATCCTGTTAATTCCTTATTTGAGAGCTCTCTCTCAAGTTAGGACGGTAAAAATACTGAGTTGGATACTACGGTTAAATGTTTGACAATTAAGAGATAAATATTAAAAATAGAGATTTTTTTTTTTCAAATAATGAGTTATCAATTTTTCAACGATAAAGTTGGGTAAATAGTCAACTATTTTTATTAGAAAAAGTTAATTGTTTTGGTCTTAGGTTTTTAATTGCCTTTTCTTGTACAAAATTTGTCCATTTAGTTTGTAAGGACTTGTAAGTAACGTTTTCACTTTTTTTCTTGTTTATAAAAAAAGAAGAAATAAAAACCGAAACATGCAAAATAAAAACGTTTCTTCTTTTTTTTATAAACATATATATGTTTGGTAAATAATTTTGTTCTTTGTTTTTTTTGTTTCTAAGTTAAAAATTATGTTTCCAAAAATTGAGTAGATGTTTCAAACAAGGAAGTTTCTATTTGTTCTCACTCTATGAATTTTTTCTTTTGACAATGGGCATATTTCTCAATGTTACGAAAATCATATAACAGGAAATTGGGGACGAAATTGAAGTTTTCATCACCACGAAAGGACAATTCATTGCTGAAGGCTGAAAATGCCAATGAAAAATAAAACGTTGGGAAAAAAAGTCATATTCTTTCTTACTTGTTGAATATGGATTATTAGACTATATGGGATTACGCTGAATATGAATTATGTCATTTTTTACTTATTATGTGTKTGAGTTTATTTAATTCTTGGAACTAACATATTGTAATATGAGATAAACTAATACATTGTACACAAAAAATAAGCAAATCTATAATCATTTTATTATTTCCTTAGTTATTCCACAWGTGTAGTTAACTTTTACTCGTAATAATGGCTATTTATTTTTAACTTCATAGAATAATTATTCTAYAGTGGTATGATTTTAATAATTTTCATGAGGATTTAATTTGAATGTAAAAATTATATGCTTAGGTATGGATAGACTTATTATGGGATTTATTGGAATCATATGATTGGAGCAATAATGATATAAAAGTGGTAGATTTTAGAATTTAGTAAAAGAATTTCGATAATGTGATTGATTACTAACAATTGTGGCTAGTGTTTGGTTCACCATTTTGAAAACAGAGAGTAGGGTTTGTTATCACAAACTCACGTTTGTTTCACAGTTTTATAAACTCAGGTTTGTTAYAGTAAATACTATTACACCCCAAGTTTGCTACAGTAAATATTATTTCACTACCTAAGTTGCTACAGTGTATATTTTGTCTTTATTCTCTCTTTTAAAATGCATTAATTTTTTTAATTAAATATATTAAATAAATGAAGAATATTACTTAATTATAATTTTAATTATAAATAAGTAAATCAATTTAATTAAAATTASATGTAATAAATAATTAAATCATATATCAACATTTYTTTTCTCTAGTTTTTTACCCCAAATGATCCAAGAAAAATCTAATTTTCTTTTTATCTTGCTATCTATTTCCAGCTGTTTTCTTTTTCGTTTTATATAGTTGTTCATTTTGTTTCTATCATTTTTATTTACTTTTTGTTGTCAACTATATTTGTAAAAGACGTTATAATTTTATATAATTATTTGTTTTAATTTTACATATTTATTTTAATGTATGAAGTTAATAATTTTTAAACAAGTATTATTTAAAAGGTTTTCACTTTGTAATAAAATGTAATTGTAAAAAATTAAATAAATTGTTGACAACATTTTATCTACATTAAAACTTATATTGAATGAATTTGTATTCTCTTGTTTAGACTTTGATTTACTGGAAAAGTATTTTCATAGATAATTGAATATTTATTTTAAAAATTAATCATTGAAAAAAAATTGGATGGACAAATGTATTAAAAATATTTTATATATCCTAAAAATAGTATTTCCTAATTTCATAAGAAAATTGACTTTTGTAAAATAATTTAAATTATTTTAATTAAATAATTAGTTTATCAATTATATTTTTTTAAAAGAAAATTAAAACTCAACCAACCAAACACAAGTTTAAATAAAACTAGTATAACAAAATACAAAACACAAATTTAACAAATCCAGACTTTAACACCAACTAAACACAGACTTAACAAATTCATACTTAATAAACTTATTTCCTGCACCAATCAAACACAAACCCACACTTAATAAATCATGACAAAATAGCGAACCAAACACCCCTTTAAGGGTTTAGTACTTATTTTCTTAAAAAAAAAAGGTTTAGTAATAGTATCTTAGAAGGGTCTAGTAGAGGGATAGGAAGATTTAGTACTCTTAAAGACATGTTTTTGTTAGGGATTTATACGTCCAATCAGTAAATATTTTATTATTTATTGGAAAAATATTTTTTTGATTATTTTGTTKCATGTATTATTTATTATCCATTTTCTAAAAATCAAAAGTTATGAATTTAATCCTGAACACTATGTAGTTCACATACAAGAGGATCGTGTTTAAGTTATAACCTAAAGAGTTTATATATATGGATAAGGCGAGCTGTCCTTGTTAAGGATTCAACGACAAGAGATCTAACAAGGATCTATATTATAAATGGGATATTCCTCTAACCAATTGATTTTGGGATGGAACTCCATAAATATTGATATGCTACTACTAGAAATCTGGGTTTTAATGTCAGACAAGAAAAAAAACACCGAGGAAACAATGTCCCACAAGGTAAAAAGGTGCTAAAATTATAAAAAGAAATTAAATTTTATGCTTCAATGTCGGACTAGGCCCCACATTGTAAGCTCGTCTTTGGTGAGGCCCAACTTGCCATTAAAAGTGACCAAACATTTTTTAACCCTGCCTTTAGTTTTCACCATTAAACTTTGTCACTCTGAAAAATTTCTACCTCCTTCCGCCACGCGAACGAGCTCCATTGTTAGTGCAAACCCAGCTCCATTACATGCGACGAGGACGATCCAGCGGCCCGAGCAACGAAGAACTCTGATAGCGGCCTCCATCTCTTCGAGCGACGGCGCATCGAAGCCCTAGATTCGTCCACATTCTTCACTGGTACGTCTCGAATATTTATCTTTTGTTTTCATCGTCTCTTGCAGACGGTTTGCTTGGCTCTTGGGGATGTTATGTGAAGCATCAATTTTGGGATAATCACAAGCTACATTTAGGAGGGGAAAATGTTAAGCAAAAAGATGGAGTTAGTGAGATTTTACTCCTGTACACGCATAAAGAAAAAGTCTATTTGCTAGTTTTTCTTTTCCTTGGACTTTTTGAAGATTAGCTTCCATTTATTTGGTGTAATAAAGATCTTTGGGGGAAAGTCTTTGCTGCTCCTAGAGATGTTCGAAASCCTTCCGAGACTTTTCGATCCTAATCTCTCACACAATCCAATCACGGGGCACTCAACGTGTGGAACTCGCACCCTAAGAACTACAGTCTCGGCCCTCGCACCTGGTAAGTTGTTTTTCTCTTCCACGTTTCCCTTCTAAAGTGATTCCCATGAGATTTGATCAATTTTTTTCTCCTGATATTGACGATCTCATCTTTTGCTTGAACAACATGCTTATTTTTACGATCATTGACTTGAAAGAAGAAAATATATGATTGGATTTGAGTTGGACATATGGTTAATWGAAGTGATTTTTTCACTTGTTCGTATATACTGAAGCAAACGAACGGAATGTTTTAGTGAATGATCTTTTGTCGATGCATTGATGTCTAATTTCTTGTACTGTTATCATTTTTGAGACATAGTTCAACATAGTTCCCTCCAAAAGTATTTTTGAGACAACTTTGGGATTATGGAAGGTTGTATAAACTTCCTAACAAACGTTTACTCTATTTGTTTTTYTCAGTATATACGGGGTGGGGGATCGAACTCACAACTTTTTAATTGGAGATATATACCAATTACCGCTGAGTTATGCTCATTTTAGCCCTTTWCTCTATTTGTTTAACTATATAAAAAGTTGTTGATTGATGTACGAATAGATACTTTGATTAAAGAAAATGCAATCAAAGATATTTCATTGTAATAAAGGTTCATAAAGTGATATAAATAATTATACCAAATTTACGTCATTCATAAATTAAATGAATGCACATGAATGTTAGTGGATTCTGGTAGGGATATGCGTTCTATTTTTCTCTCAGGATTAGACTCTATTGGTTAATTTAATTTTGTCTAACTTGAGAAGAAAAAGTTTCATTTGATTTTTTGAGGGAACTATGTCTCAAAAATTCATATCTTTTTATCTGATTTAGGTATCCATGACGGTGTATCTTGATTCATTCAAGGATAAGAAAGAAAGAGGGTTGCTCACCATTATGATAAATTGTGTAGTATGAATTTGAGATTACAGTCATCTGTTGTATAGAATAGTTTACATCAGAAACCAGCCTCTTGCAAAAACTATAACAGTTCAACACTAACCATTGAACAACTCAACACTACCTTAATAATTTGTGTTTGCAATTAATACTTTCATACATTTGTGCTGAAATGTGGCGTGAGTTATTAAGTGTTGTTCTCGTAAATTGCTTCTCAATTTCCTTTATATACTTATTTGTATTGTTTTGCTAAATGGTGATTACGCATGGAATTCTTGATTGATTTTGGCTATGTTATTCTGATGGACAATATCATACATGCGCAGTGGGAGCAAGCAATGATCGAAATAATAATCTAGATACACATTACAACCTATGATGAAACATACATGATCATACATTATGATGCTTAGAGAAAGATAGAGAAAATTGCATACCTTTGTAGCTTTTCAAATTTCTTCAAATAGCTCCAATGAGGACCAGCAAGAGGTCTTCCTAGCTATTCTCAAGACTTAGAATAGGGTGGTGAGACTCTTTTTAGAGAAGGAAAATTTGGGAGAGATATGGAGCTAAAAAGAGTTATGTAAGCTTTTTTCAAAACCATCAAATGACCAAAGGTTCCAAGACTTTTCATGTTTGAACAAAACCCTTCTTAAATAAGCAAATTACATGCAACTCTTGCATGTCTAAGTTTACCAAAAACTTACAACATATACTCCACTCATACATGGCATGGTTAAGTGTCAAAATACATGTCTAAGTTCATCAAAAGCTTACAACACACATTCCACTCATGCATGCCATGGTTAAGTGTCAAAAAGTAGATTTTTTGAGATTATTTAAATGTTCCACTCAACAAGTTAGTAGAATTTTCTACTATCTTGGTTAAAAACATTATTTTAATCTTCTTAGACAACCTTTGACTTTCTCAGGTCAAAGTCAACTATTTGACTTTTTCCGAAATCCGACTGTTTGACAAAATCCATACCTCCGATTATGAATCCGCATTCATAATTTTAATATTTAAATCCTATTTAAATATTTTGACCAAATTTCTCAATTGATATCATATATCAATTACTTAACCATATCTCGTATGATTAACGTAATTCGTAAGATTCGAATTATTCCTTCAAATTATTCCAAGTTTATTCCTATATGAGTTAGCCAGGGGACCTTATGGACCTACAAATCAGGAGCTCCAACGATCCGAGATTAATCAGTTAAACTATTTAACCTAGTTAATCAACATTCGTTAACTACCGGGTCACTCCATTAAAGTCCGTAGCTGCACTCTCCTCATTGTAGATATATTATGTCCATTTGATATAACCATGATCGGTAAGTCGACCCTTCACATGTTGTTCGTAATTACTGCTGGGTCAAAATACCGTTTTACCCCTATAATTACCTCTTGTTCCTTAAGTCTCATTAATCCTCTGATGAACAATGATTTGTAGTCCAACTATCAAATCAAAAAATCCCCTCAAACCTTTTGATAAGGGTGGCGTCAATTGTCTAAGACCTGGATTCAGCTCTTAAGAGAACAACCTTTCTACTATCCCAAAATTAGGTAGGAGTGAATTCCTTCTTGCACCATATGTCCCTACCTATCTACCTAGTTTTACCCCTGAAATGGGAGGCTTATTGAGCCAGCTGCTCTCATCCATGTAAATCTAAGGATAATCCCGAGTAAACAGAAGTTCATAGTTAGCTCAAGATTAAGATCGAGTTACTTAGGCCATCAAAGTCGAAATAGTCAGTTTCACACAGTAAGCGGTGTTATAAAGTAAAAGTGACTATTTCATGGTCCGGTTTTATGCAAACTCTTTGCACGGGATGCCCCCACTCGTATGTCTTAACATGAATGAATTAGGACCACATCGTTCGTACTAGCTACAAAGTGGGCCGCATCCATAGTGTCCCCAGAATAAGGCGCCCGACCATATTCCTATACTATAGACCATTTAGACTGTTAACTCAAACTTGATGTATATTTATGTCTCTACATAAAATTTGAGTCTCATGTAACAATCTAGGATCCTTAGTTTATTGGATTTAGATCTAGTAAGAACATTGTATTGGATCAATAACTACTTATTGATTATAACCTTCAATAACAACTTTATTGAATGATAAAAGTATATCTGACATTTACAAACTATGAGTTTTAGGACATAAAACCCAACATATTCTATATCATAGTTTTAATGTTGATAAAATAGTAAGAGTTTTTGGAATAGGTTACTCATGGTGTTCGTGGCTTTTGGATGGCCTTAAATGTTAGTTTAATTTGTCGAACCTGCTGATGACATCAAACTTTTAACAAGGTTTATTATGTAACTTTTGAAACATATTGTAAGAAGATTATTTTGCTTAATATAAATATCATATTACATATATACAAGTGTTTGATATGTTGCTGAATGTAGTTTGATGAGAGACGAGTGGTCCTGTATATATTAAATCCTTATTTTCTATTGAGTTATGCATAAAGAAGAAGAAGGTTGTTTTTTACAAGTAGGCATGTGTTTTGGGTAAGTACTGGAATTATGAAGAAGATGAGAGAAAGAGAAAGGTAGGGGAAGAATGAAAGCCTCAAATTTCCTCTCTTTATGGTTTTCTGTGTGTCCCTTCCTCTCCATTACAACCCTCTTTAAATACACCTAAAAATAACAGTAAAAAAGAAAAAGGGGCAAGAGAAGAGAGAAAAAGAGGGAGGAGAAGAAAGGAGAGGAGGCCACGTACGTGGTTTTGACCGGGAAAAAATCAAAGGGAGAAAAAAAACTGTTAATATCAAACGTTTAAAATAAAATCATTATTTTTAAATTTGTAATTTTATTAATAAAATCAAAATCTTTAAAAGAAAACATTTTTTTAATTTAAATTAAAACTTTAGCTTATAAACAATAATAAAGTAATCATTTTTTTAATGAAGATATTTAAAAATAATAATAATAAATAAATAATAATTAAAAATTAAAAATTAGCCGGACCAATAACGGTGTCTACACTTATTCTGATAAGTAATGTGTAGAAGTTGCTGGTCTAAGACCTATAATTTCTAATTACAATTGTAATATTTAAAATCAAGTTCATAGATCTTACTTACAAAAGGGTCCTTATCAGCTGCGAAATCATATTTTTCCATTCAAGAAATTTGGATAGAAATCAAGACGATTTAATCCAATTTGGTTCAATTAATATCCTAATTGGTTAGAATATAGTATTTCAAAGGATGTTACATTCTTTTTATGTTGCTACTTATTCAAACCAGAAGTTGGTAAACAATTAGGTGGTGATAATTTTATTGGTGATCGATATTCTTATCGGAAGAAAAAAGAGAAATTGCAAATTCATGTTGGTGGTCCTAATAGAGCACATAATCAAGCTTGGGTTAAATGTTTTGGAACAAAAGCAATAGATTGAGACATTTTTTAATAGGATGTTAGACCAAGCACGAGTTGAATATTGAACTCGATTAGGTACATCAATTGATTGTATTCGATTTTTATTACGACAAGGACTTCCATTTCGTGGGCATGATTAGATAGATGATACACAAAATCAAGGTAATTTTTTTGAAATTTTGGATGGCTATGTGACCACATCTAGGATATTGAAACTGTGACTTTGAAGAATGCTCCAGATAATTTAAAATTGATTGCTCCCGATATTCAAAAAGATATTGTGAATTGTATTACACTAAAAATTGTGAATGCAGTCATAAGATATATGGGTGATAAGTTATTTTCTATTTGGAATATTGATGAATCCAAAAATATATCTTCAAAGGAACAAATGTCAGTTGTATTGGGATATGTGGACAAAGGTCATGTGACCGAACGATTTGTTGGAATTATATGTTTTGCTAATACAAATTCTCTATCAAGGAAGCTATTGATGAATTTTTTTCTTGACATGAGTTTTGCATTGCTAGTTTGCGAGGACAAAGATACGATGAAGCAAGTAATATGCAAGGTGAGTTGAATGGATTGAAAGCAGTTATTTTGAAAGAAAATAAATGTGCTTTCCATTCATTGTTTGTGCTTTCCATTCATTGTTTGTCTCATAAGCTTCAAGTAGCTCTTATAGCTATCGCAAAAAATCATGTGGAAATTGTTGGTCTTTTTTTTTATTATTGTTACAAATGTAATGAATATGATTGGGGCATCGGCAAAGCATCATGAAATTCTACGAGAAAAATATAGTATGACAAATTTTGAAGTTTTGAATATTGGTGAACTATCAACTGGCCGAAGATTAAATCAAGAGATAATGATTAAACAAACAGGAGATACATGATGGGAAACACATTATGGTGTTGTATTAATATATTACAATGTTTTCATCAATAGTTGATGCACTCGAGACAATTGTACAAGGTGGATCAAATTCAGAACATAAATATGAAGCAGGGATTCAAATAAGTTCAATCCAATCATTCGACTTCGTCTTTCATATGTATTTTATGAAAATCATCTTGAGAATCACGAATGATTTTTCTCAAGCATTACAAAGAAAAGATCAGGACACTGGGAATGTCATGAATTTAGTCAAAATTTGTAAAGAAAGATTGCAAACATTGAGGGAGTCGGGTTAGGATGGATTCAGTTTCTACTTTTTGTGATAAACATGATATTCAAATTCTTAAGATGGATGATATATTTTTTTTTATTTGAGGATGACGAGGGCGAAAATCTCAATCAATTACAAATATGCATCATTATCGTGTTGACATTTTTTATACAAGCATTGATATGCGCTTCAAGAGTTGAGTAACTGTTTACTAAAATAAGTATTGAGTTGCTTTTCTATGTAGCATGTTTGAATCCAGGTGCTTTTTTGTTGCTTTTGATGGACAAAAACTTAATCGTCTTGCTCAATTTTATCAAATAGATTTTAAACTATTGAACTCTCTGTGCTTGATGATCAACATCAAAATTACATTGTTGATGTATACTCAAATATTGAGTTTGGTGATCTAAGAAGCATCAGTGATATTGCAATAAAATTGGTCATGACAATAGAAATAAGGTATATACATTAGTCTATCGATTGCTCACCTTGACATTTGACTTTCACTACAAGAAAATTAAGGATTTTCAAAGGTCACAACCTTTGAAAAATTATAAAATAAACCCTCGATAAATTTTTTTTCAAAGGTTTACTCAACATTCAAAAAGTGTCGATATAGATCCAGTCGAAAAAAGTTGTTTCGAAAGTTTGGTTAACCTTCAAAAATTCATATTATTCAAAGGTTCAATCAACCTTTAAAAATTCATATTTTTCAAAAGTTATAAGTCTTCGATAATTGTTAAATTAGTTGTACATAATTTATTAATTTCAATTACTTTTTTCGAAGTTTTTATTATTTTCCAATAATCATAATCTTATTTTCAACAATTTTTAGACCTTAAAAAAAGTTCTTTATTGACATTTGTAAATCCTTAAAAAAAACCAAGTAGAATAATAGCATTTGAAATTAATATTAATATTTTTTATGAAAATTAAATTAATTTTCATGGTTAAAATTTATAATTTCTGAACTATATCTAACAAAAGCAAAATATTRTTTACTACAATCAATAGTTACGGCAAAAGCAACCAACAAGTAGTCATAGTAT